AGCCTTGAATGTTCAGGGGCTGGTGGTCGTTTCTGTTGGGTCAGTTCTGTGTTCACACTGGGGCTGCTGCTCAGCCCTCCTCCCTCCCCAGAGAGAGAACCTGCCTTGGTGCTTTTCTCTTTCTTTTAAAGTAATTTCGTTGTTGGTCTTAAGCTATTTCTGGATTCCCTGGGTGGGAATTCTCTGAGTAGCCTCTAAGTGTAATTGTTGCTGTCTGCAGCACGATACACAGTGAGATCCTTTGGAATCAGAAGAAATGAGAAGATTGCTGTTCATTGCACGGTTCGTGGGGCCAAAGCAGAGGAGATTCTGGAGAAGGGGTTGAAGGTAAGAGTTTGGCTGGTCTGGATCTTTGATTTGGGAAAGAACAAAACTGAATCTGTCCCAGCTGAAAACATGTATGCTTTGAAATGTTGTACCTGACCTGGTGACAGGTCAGTCACAGATACACCCTGATAGGGACCTCTGTGTTTGCACCATTGCTTTTCCATCCGTGTTTAAGAGTGAGCTGGGGTGGGTTCTGCTTTCCTTTGGGGTTCTGTTTCTGCTGCACTGATTTATGAGCAGCCTTTGGGGCTAAAGATGAAGTACAGTGCGAGTTGTGGGGATGGGGGCAGTTGGTAGAACACACAGGACTTCTGACTCTGCAGTCACTAATGGAATGGTGACTGACAATCACTGTTCCAGGTGCGAGAATACGAGCTGAGAAAAAACAACTTCTCAGACACTGGGAACTTTGGCTTTGGAATCCAGGAGCACATCGACCTGGGCATTAAGTACGATCCCAGCATTGGTATCTACGGCTTGGACTTTTATGTGGTGCGTATTCCCCACTTCCTTGCAGCAACTGGGCTTGTGTGAAAGCTCTAGAAGGAACCTAGAATGGCAACTGGCTCGTGTGAACCCGCTGCCAAGCTCTGGGTGGTAGAACATGGCAAAAAATCCAGTGTAAACTGAGAGGGGCTGCTGTAAAATTCCTGGTTTATAATGTGTCACACAAAGCCCGTTCAGAAGGAAGTGCTGCTGCTTGTACTGGTACTCTTGGAGTAGCACTGAGGAGGCTGTGCTGGGTTTGGGGGAGGAAGGTGCAGCAGGGGCTTTGGGAGTGCAGGCAGAAGGATGGCTGTGTTGCTGGAAGGTTCTCTGCTGCGTGAGGGCTGGTGGCTCTGATTCGTTCCGTTCTGCTGTGCGTCACGCTAAGTGTCTGAAGCAGGGGGAAGCTGTTCCACCCATGTTGGCAGTTCTGGATCTGTTCTCGAGAGCCTCTGGGGATGGAATTGTGGATCTTCCACACTCGTTTTAGTATTTCCAAGTCAGTGTAGGTGCTGAGTTGCACAACTTAGGGGCTCTCCCTCTACATTGAGGCTGTAGAGGATAACGCTCTCAGTCTTGAATGTGAATTGGGCAACGTGATGTTTACTGATGTGGAAATTCCAGCCTTCCATCCTAGAAATCTGAGAGGTTTAAGAAAATAACTGGCAGAATAAAGCAGTGCTGTGGGTCTCCTCTGGGGCAGGTGCTGGGCAGGCCTGGTTTCAGCATCGCTGACAAGAAGCGCAGGACTGGCAACATCGGAGCCAAGCACAGGATTGGGAAGGAAGAAGCCATGCGCTGGTTCCAGCAAAAGGTAAGCTCCAGCTTTGTGTTGTATCCCAAGAGTTTCCTAGCAAGGAGCAAGTCAGTGGGCAGGAGGAGACCTAGATCACTGCTTCAGCTGTTGATTTTTGCTGCTCGCAGCAGTAGGGGCTGTGTTTGGGTGCGAGTGCTGGTCATGCCTCTCTTCTGTGTGCTGAACTGAAAGAGCAGTTGCAGCAGCATTGCTGGGGGAGTATCAGCTCTTGTGTAAATCTCTCGGGTGGTGGTTGGAGGTGTTAAAGTGTGTGTGGATCAGGAGTGGTAAGGCAGGGTTAGGATTTGTTTGTCTGACACAGCTCCTAGCTCAGCTGCCAAACTTGGAGGATGGGGTAGTCCAAATAAAATGAGGTTTTGGGTTTATCTGGGCACAGCTCTGAGCCAGGCTGGCTGGAGAATGGAAGATGCCGAGCGCTTGGCTGGCAATGTTCCGATGGGAATTGCTGATGCTTTTTCAAAGGTGGAAGGGGTTGGATGGTCTCTGGAGGCTCTTCACTGGCTGCTCTGCCTACACCTACCCTGTTGTACCCTGCACAGGGAGGGTGCCAGCCTGCTCCTTGCAGAGTGGTCCTGCTTGCTATGGTGTAGCTTCCTTCAGGACCCATATCTTTGGGCTGTAAAAGGGATGAATGTAGTTGGGTCAGAGCTGCCTGTGAAGGGTGGTGGGCTGCTTGTTTCACTGGGCTGCTGAGCAGAGGTCAGTGCTTGACCCCCTTGGAAGTCAAGAGCACAGCAGCAAAGCAGTTGGCTGCAGAGAGTTGGTGTTTTATGTCTCTGTTGCCTGGCCTGGAATGAATGTGGCGACTCGGTTTCCTGCACAGCAGCACTGCACCTCTACCTGATGGTACCTTCTCACTTGCTTCCTTCTTTTGTTTCCCTTACAGTATGATGGCATCATCCTTCCTGGTAAATGAGCAGTTCCTGTTACTAAAAAAAGGAAAATAAATTTTTCTAAGTTGTGTCTCCTGTTGTGAATTTTGTGGGGGCTCCTCCCGACCTGGGAAGCTGCTGGAACCAAGAAGCACACACTCAAAAGGCAGCAGAAGGATGTGGAGGTGAAGAGAACCCACTGTTCTCAAGGAGCAAGTGTTGGATGTATGTATGTGGTGCTGTCTCTACTTTCAGTGTCCAGCTGCACAGATGATCTGTAGAACTTTAGAGTCTGCAAGTGGGTGTAGAAAGAAGGAAACATACATGCTTTTTGACTGCTGGAGCTGTTGAGTGGGAGTTTTTGGAAGGTTGAATTTCTGAGGGGAGCACAGTCAGCGAGTGCTGGTTCTGATCCTCAACAGACCAACCTGCAGTGTTGAGGACTCCTACTGAACAAGGGAGTCCATGTCAGCAGGAGAAACTTGGCTGCTCTGGAACTACTAAGCTAAAGTGTGGTTGAGGACTCTTCATGAAGGGCGATGAGTTGAGGCCTGTGGTTCCTCTAATCCGGGATTCAAACCCTGTGCCCTGAGGGGCAGTTGGGATCAGCCAGCAGAGCCCTGGAGCCAGCTGCTGCTCTGGGTGGCATGATGCCCAGGTGTCTGTACCTGCAGCTGGTGGAGTTGTTTCTGCCCCACAGATCGTGGTGCTCTTAATGAGTTCTAGAAATCCTGAAGCAATTAAAATCCTGAAGGGATTAGCTGATACGCTTGGAATGTAGAAGATAAATCTTGTTCATCAGAATGCTTCACGTGTGTGAGCTTAACACTGCTGTAATAACCCAGCCAGACAGTTCTCCCCTGCAAAGGAATGGTCTTTATTGTTTAAAGAGAAGATTCCCTGCAGGACAGTGCAGCTCACACAAGTGGGGTTCAGGAACACCTTTTGCTTCTGCCTCTAGTGCTTGGTTTCATCCTGCACCTCACAATAAAAAGCTACAGTAAAAAAATTAAGGGGCAAACTCACTTTCATGCCAGTCTGCACACACTCCACCAGTGACTGTGCAGCGTTAACTGAAAGACCTTCCCTTCCCTTCTCAAGCCGATTTGCAGTTGTAAACCAGGGAAGTTTGTCAGCACTGCTCAGGATGGAGCCCACTCCAAGATACACAGGGCAGCATGTGCTGTGCCTGCTGAAACACAGAGGGAGGTGGAATTTGAACAGGAATGATGTTCTGCTGTGGTGTAGCTCTGTGCTTGATGCAAATGCTAAACAGAGATCAGGAATTCTTAGGGGAAGATCAGTTCCTGTATGAGAACTTAACTGTGCTGAGCTGTGAAAGGCACTGAAAACCAGCCTGCTTTGCCAAAGCTTTTCTCTTGGCATCTTCATGGCACACTGGGGTTCCCCTGAGCAGCACGTTGGCTTCCTGGACATTATTTCGCTGTGTTGTGCAAAGAAGACCAGAACAAAACCACGAGCATTTGCCCTGATGCTCAGTGACCCTGCTTGAGCAATCCCTGCTTCAGCTGTGGGATGGAGGTGCAGGTAGCTCAGAAGGCACTCTTCTAGAGCCCAAAAACTTGCCATGACGGAACAAGAGTGAGGCTTCGCAGTGACTCCAGACATCAGTGTGCCTCCCTATCCAGCTATCCCACACCTCTGAGCTCTGCCTCCTTCCCTAGCTGCTGGCATAAGCCACGTGGCACCCAGGGCTCTTTACGTGCTGGCTGCTGCTGAGGCCACAGAGCTGGCCCGAGACCCGGAGCTCAGGGGGCGTGGGAGGGTGATGGTGCAGCACGAGACACCCACAGTGGCCTCAGGGAGGTCCTTGTCCTCAGCCCACTCGTTGAGGTCAGGGTTGTAGCACTGAACACATTTCTGATACCTCTTCCCACTCTCATTCCAGCCACCCACCAGGCACAAGCGCCCCTCCAGCAGAGCCACCCCGGCCGTGCTGACCCCCGTGGGCAGCGGTGCCATGTAACTCCACTGCCCCGTGAGCGGGCTGTAGCACTCCACGGGCATCACGTCCACCCGCTCGCCCTGGGGACCCACCTGGCTCCCACCCAGCACGTAGGCTCGGTCGGCCACGGT